GAACGATGTTTGCCAAGGCTGGTAGCGATTAGAAAAAAAAACAAAGGGCGGCCAAGCTAAGACCTGGTATGAGGGTATGAAAACCCTAACCAGGAGACTAGGTCACATAGGCTCCGTTAGGCTCCCTGGCTGAGGACCTCGGGATGATGGTCACCGATGGTTAGCTACACTGAGTGATATGTCTGGGTGTCGCAAACAGTGGCGCTCGTGCACCAACTCGTTATTTGCTTAACACCACTCTATATGTATTCTCCATCTTCCGCTTGAATTTGCTTCGACATTCCAATCTTTATTTCGCTCTTTTATCCAAATGGGCAACCAAAACCCGCGCACGAAAGTGCATGGTTAATGGTTGTAAAAACTGAAACTGAAACTGTGAGTCAGTTATAGAGAGCGGGAGACCCAAACGTTACCCCGAAAGAACAAACTTAAGTATTAATAAGAAACAGAAACAGGGAAGCTATCCAACGCTAAATCGGTGATTGCAAGTAGATTATTAATAAAGAACGATTAATAAGGTGCACCGTTTTTTTCTCAAATTCATCTGTACACGAGAATGGGGTAGGGGGCGAGGTACCACTTTATACGTGAATGCAGTATGCAAATATCAAGCTAACTTGGGTTTTGCAGTGTGTTGAAGTGAATAAGGATGGAAGGCGTTGACGAAGTGGCCAAGCTTAGGCACTACATGAGAATAGTAGGCGGAGAAATGGCATACTAGATTAGGGCGGATGGGGTTGTTGCTAAAGTGAACGACGATATGCTAAATCCGATTAAGAAGAACTAACACACAAAACTCAGCTCAATTCCTCACTCAAGCTCAAGTGTTGGGTGGATCCATGAACTTTCTAAGGGGAAACCAGTTGATAGTGTGGCAACATTGGGAGCAAAATAGCAAACAAATCTTGAGCGCAACGCAGATGCGTAAGCAAGTAAATACAATCAATGAAGGCTCTTCTATCATCATGGGTCTTGGGATCTCTGTAGCTCTGTTGGTTTTGTCGAAACGAATTAATGATTAGTGCTATGCAATCAAAATCTAAATTTTATCCGCTTCAATATCCAATGATTTTGACCATACTTGAGCTCTTTTTTTATCGTATTCGATTCACTTCAATTCGTGAACTTTTCGTCTTGCGTTATCAGAGGACAATATGTAGCAATTAGCCGATTCGGTTCAAGATTTGCAAGAATATAATTCTATCGTAACTATTAGTATGATGTGATGCAGCATTAATGATAGGTGCTTCTAGATATGTACCCTTATCGAGTTATTCTGACCATAAAAAATTTCCGATTAGTTTGTCAATTCTTCATTTGATCTTGCTCACCCTTTATTGCATCGTACGCAGACTCCGACACCTCGTCGAACCGCATTAGCTGTACGCTGGAAGGCAGGTCGCATTGTTTAAGATGTATTGTCTCGTGTTTCGTTCTATTCTTTCGAAAGATGGCGCCTTACCTGTAAAGATTCACGTTACCTTAACATGTATATATATGCGTGCAACACCAAAGCATTTTTCCATCTCATTTAGAGTGTCAGTCAACTGCAACAATTGATAGCCGACTCTGGTGTTGCTACTGCTACTAGCCTTCCGTTCTTCAGTCAAGATCAGTTTCGTGCGATGGTTAGCGGTTCTGTGGACGGTGTACCGTTATCTGAATCCCGTGAATCCAGTCGGCATTACCATACAATGGGTTCTGAATACTCTCGATCCAATTCCGCCAGACTACCGCCGGGGGAGACTGGCGAGATATCTTCATTTGTAATTCAAACCACAGGACGTCCACCAAAGCTTCCGTTTCAGCCCAATTGGCTTTACGAGCGCCCTACTCTTTGGGATGATTTTTTACCACCTAAGAAACCGGAGTTAAAGGTCAGTTTATTCTCGTTTTGTCAAAAGTAATTTGTTGTCCAAAGTCCAGTTAATCTACCTTGACAGATTCTTCTCACTTACACTATCCCACATACATTTTACTCAAATGCTTCTATCCCTCTCTTTTATCACTAGTCACTGATTTTGGGATTGCTGAAACTTCGGTTCTCTTCCTTCAACGATTACCAGTGCACTACGATACTCTCCCCCAAATAGTTGTGATATTGTACGTATAGTGCTCCTATTGATGATCGTTGAGAATGTTGACAAAATATTGAAAATCGGTTTTCGTAGCTCGGGTGAACTGAATTCCATGAGACCATTATCTCCCACCGCCCGTCTGCACCAGAAAGATATGTCAAATATTGTAAATTTCTCCACAAGAGGAAACGCGCTGGATCTTATGTTTTCGAACGATCCTGACCTGTTTGCTGTGCGAAGAGGAGCCCCTCTGGCAAACTCCGATCATTGTATCCTAAATGTTTTACCAAAAGTCTATTCAAAGAAACATCATACATTATGACACACATCTAGCTGGAAGATTTTTCATAGGCTGTGTGACCCGGTCCACTTGGCTTCACTGAGAGAACTGGTCTCTGGTGCAAATTGTGATCAGTTCTTTAATCCAAGTGTCTCGAACGAGTGTGAACACCCCACGAGCTATTTGAACTTCTGCTTTGACATCTGCTGCCCCATATCCCCTATATACATCAGTCCCGCTAGATTTTCTTCTCGCACTTTGAAGACCCTCAGAAGAATCAACGAATGGGCATATACAAATCTTGATCGACCTTTAGTTGAACAAACATCAGTGCTAATCAACAGTGAGATCCAAAATCTTGACAAACTCTACACTGAAACCCTTCTTGGTGACCGTAATTGCAAGCAAATCTGGAGTACTATGAAAAAACTGTGTGGAACAAAAGTCAGACAACGTGGGCCTCAACTCACAGCAGATGAACTCAATTGCTTGTTTTCTAAGTCAACTAAAACTGAAGTATCGCATCCTTATTTCCATCAGTTAACCATCGTGAAGTTTCACATGTCAATTCAAACCAGGTGCGTGCACAGATGAAGTGCCTAAAAATGTCAAAAGCTTCCGGTCCTGACGGGCTATGTCCAGTCGTTCTCAGGGAATGTGCGCATTATCTGGCGGAGCCACTTACCGATATCTTCAACCGCTGCTTCGAAGAACAAAAAATTGTCGACTGCTGGAGACCTGTGCGCATTACACCAGTCCACCGAAAAAAAGCTGGCAAACTACGACCAATCGTCTGCACTTCTATTTTACTAAACATTTTCGAAAACTGTATGCTCAGTAACATTATTCCCAATACTGGGTAGCTAGATGAAAACCAATTCGCTTATCGCAAACAACG